AAAGACCATCAGATCTGTCTCACAACTTGTTGGTCTGTACGACAGGCAAGGACGAATTTGACCGATCTTCGCGCATTTTTCATTTTTCTCGCCTCTCGCTTGATAAGTCTAGATTCCTGTTCTGTTTTGGTACATAGTCGCGACTTTTTTTTTCGACTACGTAGTCGAAAAAAATTGGGCCACCATTTTTGTGACTTCTTTCTTTCTTCTTGTTCCGAATGNCAGTGCGATTATTTTGAATAGATAATAGAATAACATGTTCTGACTGAAGAAATGCATAATCAGGTCTTATATGCTCTGCCGCTTTCTCCTTTTAGTTATAAGATTTGGAAAGCAATGAAGTTATTTATTAACTGCTGATGTTATTAAACTCGGTGCCCACCTGAAAATCAGCTGATAAACACAAACTATCTCTCGTCAACAATTCCTTCTGTTGTCCAAGTTTCAAAGCTTAACAGACATGACATAAACATCAAATTCTTTCCGAAGAAGCATCATCCTCTAATTATGAAACACTTTAATTTTGCGTCTGTGGATGGCTTTTTTGGAGGAATCTCAACAAATTTCAATAAAGAAGTATCGCCAAATTTCGAGATAAGTGCTATGTTGCGAAACAGCAAACCATCATTGCTAAACCGTTGGCCAACATAAAAATCCACTGAGCAATGATTTTATTCTGGTCAAAATCACGGTGTTTTTTTCAGGACGTAAAGTAAATGTTCTCTAACGCGAATACCGTAGTTGAGCGCGCTGAGTATTGACGCGCATGCATTAGACTGAACGGCCGAGTCGCTACGAACGGTAGCCTGCATTCCATCAAAAAATGCGCGAATTCAAATATATTTTAAAAACGTCCCGGAAAAAACACCGTGAAAATCGGAGCTGAGAAACGCTGGCCGAAGCCGAATGTCCCACAACGACAATTACCGTAACCTAAACGTTTTGTTTTCAGTCAATTTTTTCACAATTGTATCGAAAAGTTTCAATTTCGTCTCTTTTTAAAAGGAAAAATAGCAGGTAAAAGGAAAAATAGCAGTTTTAAAAGGAAAAATAGCAACTCGACGAAAAGCAGTAAAAATAAGAATATAAACTCGAAAAATGAAAATATTTTTAGGTTGCGGTACTTGTCGTTGTGGGACCACAGCTTCGATTTTTCGTACCAGAACAATAATAGCCACATTTTAAAATTTGGAACACATATAGTTGACCAAATATTGAATATTTTTGAATAAATTCTGTCTTTCTCTATTATTTTGTCCTGTTATTCAAAGTTGCAAATAACAATTTTTGAAAAAGAACAGTTTTGCTTTTTTTGCTTCTCCTGACAATGAATAGCCCAATAATAGAAGTTTGATCTCTTTCAAAAATAACAGCAGAACACAAACGAATCATGAATAAACATTTTTGCAGAAAGTCAAGATCTTTTAATTACATCTGCCAGTCACATGGTTCCGTCAAGATGAACTTTGGCTCCAAGGACTTGATTGAGATTCATTATAAAATATTCCACTCTTTTGTAGTTTCTCTGTTCATGAATAAACTTTTTTATTCAAAGCTGTTCTTAATCTAACTTTCAGGTGACTATGACTTTGGTATCGGGAGGATTCTTTTACACGGATAAATGAAAGTACAGTTTTTTGAAAAGTCTTTTAAAAATTTCATATTGAAATTTTTAAAACCACAAATTTAGAAAACCATTCACTTAAAGGGAAGTTACTTTGCCAGTTTGCTGTTTATCCTGAAACACTGGGACTTGAAATAGTTTTTTTTTCTTACTTCGATTTCATATATATTATCTTTAAACCATTAAAAAACTATGAACAAAGTCAAACACCCGAAACTTTTCCAACTTTTTATTAGATGCTTTCAATCAAATGACTGCGAAGAGAACATCTCACCAAAGAAAGTATGCTGTTCTGATCACAAAACCAGCTTCGTAAAGAACAAGATCGTTTGGGTAACGATTACCAAGCTCTACGTCAATTCTATCTTTATGGTCCTTTCCCGGAAAAAAAAGTTTCTGTAGTAGAAAAACCCCTAACTTTTAACTTTGAGCCAATTTTTCTTGGTTCTTATCAAAGATATGAAAACTTTGTCAACTGATAAGATTGTTTATCATAAAATCAGAATTTTTTTGTTAGTGAAACATTCTTGATATCTAGCATAGAGAGCTGGAACTGGGCAATGAGGGGGCCCTTCTATTAGGTTGTT